AATGTAGGCCGCACCCCCTAGCGGCAGAAGCTCGTACTACATCCGGTTCGCCCTCTATTGACACAGTCTTGAAACTTTCCAATCGCACCTCGTATGCAATAGCAATGCAATAAATGCTATAAAAGACACAGACAAACGAAATGTGAGACGATGATTAGGTATTGCAGGCTTGTACAGACAGGCTAATATAAGACAGCACGTTTATAGTCATTATAATCTTTTAGGTGCGGAATTTAAGATCTTGGTTCTACGCGCACGTATGGATTTAATTAAAACTCAATAATATTTATGTTACCAGTACATTTCTATTTAATTTCGTTAAAGGGTCTGAGAGGTAAGAATTGTCTGCGATAAGAAATTTTCCTATGCCCCGTTTCGTTCCACTCTGTTGTATAAAGATACACGTATGTTATGTATAAGCCTTATCGCCATGTGGCACCACAATTGTACATACAAGGAAACGTTTGCGATGCCACTTCCTTTAGTTATCAGAAAACGAACTACGTGGCAAAGTAACAATTTCCAGTGTTTCCTGTTTATTTATAACTGTCCATTAACCTTTGTGTTTCAGTTAAGGAGTGAAATCGTTTCTATTGCATTTCTCGGGGTTTATTAAAATGCATGCTAATATCCAAGTAGTTACAAGCGTGAAATAAGAGTTTGTTACTGGTGTAATAAAAGAAATAATCCATTTAATTATTTAGGTACAGTTTATTTAGTGTACTTTAAGAAAAACAGACGAAACACGGTTACTTTAGCTTAAAATGGATACTGAACTTTCAGTATGGAAGGCCTATAAAGCGAATTCTTTCAGGCACGGAACAAGACGAGCTCTTTGGTTAGTTTCTTCTACAATGGAGAACAGTGGCCAGCTAGTCATAGCCACACCCTCCACCAAGCAAAAAATCAGTCGTCTGTTCGTCTAGACGTCTAACCTACCAACCAATTTCATTTTATTAAACCACGAAACAAATATACGGCATTTTAAATAGCAACAAGAGAAGCAGAGGAAATACAGTAAAGAGTGGACTGTGCCAGTATTAAAGTTGTAGGATTTGAGGTTTTCACGGCGGTGAGTCTGAAGATTGTTTGCGCCAAGTTGTCTGGTAGATGTTTACCGACCTCTGAAACGTCGGTAAACATGTTCCAAACTACACGGTGCAACAATCCAGAAGACATTAATCTTCATTAGTACAGTTAACTGGGTTTATGACAACAGCCTTCTGAATGCGACGTGTAAAATGCCCGTCAAATATTATGTATTATGCTTGATACTCACCTCGGGTAATTTAAAAACTGAAGTCAAATAACAGCCCAGGGTGTACAGTCTACTCAGAAAGTAACGAACAAGAAGGCAGATTATGCATTTAAGGAGGTTAAAACTGAATGACCCTGTGATACAGTTCAGTCATGCAGGCCGCCAACATTTTCTCATATAAATGTACACGGAAGATTCCTACAGCATCTGAGCCGGAAATATGTTCTACTGAAATACACGACAATTTTGTATGTACTCCTTTTATGTGATAAGAAAGCCGTACTTCTGAAGATTCAATGTCAATTTCTCTGTTGCTCAGATGTCCATTTAATGCGTTCATTCAAGGAGCTTCTGATTTACGTTAGAACAATAAAACCTATATCTAGAAGTGGTATGTTTTATATTTAATGTTATAAATTTCGTATAAAGTCTATTTCTAAGTCGAATTCTTAGAATAATATCCAATAATTAAACCTTTTTTTAAAATTTTATCCAATTTAAATTATTGTACGTCCCAACGATCTTAAACTGTTTTAAGATTGATAATTTTTTAACAAGAACTATCCCTTTGCTTTTGCGTTGTAAGCCTAGTGAAGATTCCTGTCTTCTGGATTGTTGCGCTGTGTAGTCTGGTTGATGTTAGCCAACGTTTCAGAGGTCATACTGCGATGAATCGCCCTGATGACGGAGGCAGTATGACCTCTGAAACGTTGGTTAACATCGACCAGACTACACAGCGCAACAACCCAGAAGACAGAAATCTTCATACTCATCGCCCTGATGTTGGAGGCAGTATGACCTCTGAAATGTTGGTTAACATCGACCAGACTACACAGCGCAACAACCCAGAAGACAGAAATCTTCATACTCACCGCTGTGAAAACCTCAAATCTTACAAGCCTAGTGAAGTTCACATAGGCTACACATGCAGTACAGTTAGTCGTATGAAATTGGAGTAGGTCACTGTTTTGTAGCTAGGAGTATCTATGAACTCAATGGAGGTCATCGCGTGAGTCTTCAGTTATATCTGTAATGGAAGGAAGGTAATGTTTCCCGTGTGAAATTAAGGCGGATTCTGCTCATGAAGCCAAATATTTTCATACTACGGTCTGACAGTAAATCCTTGTTTAAAGTTTAAATTAATATTAATTAAAAGAAAAACCTGAAACAGAATCCGTTAATATCGCGTGGCGCAAGAGACATTAGATTAAAAAAGACAAAAACAAAAGGCTAAAGGAATAACTCATGTAAGCTGTGCAGAGCGTGACGAATTTTGTGCACAAGAAGATTTATTCGTTCAGGGTTTCGATCAAATCCGCTCAGCAGTTCAATTTTACAGTTTTTAAACGTTATTTTTGCGCCACCGGTGTAAATCACTATTCTGAATGTTTGATCTCCTTGTGGCAATCATTAACGCATTTGAATGAAAGTGAGCGTTGTGAATTTTCCTCAGAATCTCTCGTCTTCCACGAAGACAGCGGCTAAATTTTAAAATCGCTGTCATAAGTTTCAGTCCTAAGGTGAAAACTTTCATCCAACTTTTGCTAAATGAAGAAATAGGCAGTAATATGACTAGCTTAAGAAATCGTGTATCACGCTGACTGTTTTGATGCGCATTTACAAAACAAAACCTTGAAAGCGTAACTATTACGCAATATCGCGTTTTCCTTGAGAATATTTAATGTTTCTGCAGGTTTATTAGCACAGCAGGTGAATGAATTTGTGTCACTAACAGTTCACCTCATTGGTTTCCTGTAAAGTAATGTTACATTATCTTGCACAAACAAGACTTCATTTCCAGGACTGCAATCAACAGACTAATTTTCGTGAAACTAGTTACGACCACTGTGGCGCTGTACACGTCAGTATCTCCGAATTTTTAAGCTTTCTGCGGAAAACCGGATAAAGTATCAGCATGACCGAATTTCGGAGAAACGAAATATAACCGCTGGCACTTACAATGAATGACAATTATTCGTAAGTTATGTAACGACACTATTTCAACGGCGGAGAAATGACTGGAAAATTATAATAAAAGGTAAATAAGTTTTGGTTGGAAAACGATCGTGGCATATTTCAATGTATTATGAATGCATTCGCTCTGGAGAAAATGAAAAAAACCAGGATAAGCCCTTTCAGTGTAGCTGAGATCAAACTGGGCGCTTTACGAGAACCTGAGTTATGCCGATCAGAAAAGTATGACAATTGCAATATATCGTTTATGGTTTAGTTACGACGTACGACTTAAGACTACGCAGCGTTAAATTATAAAATAGTTAATAAAGATTAGTTGAAAGGGACTTGGAAGGAAACGGTCGTGGCTTAATTTAAGGTACTATCCCGGTGTTTCTCGCCCTGGGTGGTCTAGTGGTAGCGTGCTCACGACTGGACCCAAGGTTTGCGGGTTCAAACCCGGTAGAGGTCGATGGATTTTTAAGGGCGATAAAAATCCGTAGCACGGTTTACTTCGGAGGGGAAGCAAAGCCGGCGGTCCCATGTCGTAGATTTGCGGCATGTAAAAGAACCTTACGAGAATGAACGAAATGTTTCGCCAGCAAAACTTAGCGGCCATTTCTCACCCATGTCTCTGGTAGAGGCCTTGTGATGGGCTTATCACTCTTATAAGAAGTCCCTACCAAATGTCTAAAAAATATATCGCAAACCTCTGAATGGAGGCCCTTATGCTCCATGTAGGAGATAAAAGGGCATAAGAAGATCCCGACATTTGTCTGCAGTTACTGAGAAAAATCACAAAGCAAGGCAGTCAGGATAGTAAGTCTGTCTCCGGGACGAAGTTCGAACCCAGAACTTCCAACATACAAACCAGGCGTGATGATCATTCGGCCACGACGTTCAGTTAATTGTTAAAAATGATTGAAAGGATCTGGGCGAGTAGGTTCTTGCGGACACAGTAATGAACCCAGGGTTTCTTATAGGCAGAGAATTTCTTTAGTAGATGATCGGCTATTTGTCTCGCAAGAAGAACTCCGCTCTGTGGCGTACGTTACAATCAGGAAGGACGAGGGCAGCAGCGCCTTATTTCAAGGTATTGTCACGCCATCTGAGTGAAGAAAACTCTACGAAATCGTACAGTAAGGATATCTAACCTCTGGACCCAAAACTGAAAGCGGGGTATGAGGAATACTTGGCAGAATGATAAGCGTTAAACTACGAAATTCAAAATGGGCACTTTCAGAATACGAGTCTGAAGCAGCACTGATACAAAAGCCCACTGAGTAATAAGTTAAGAAGCTGTCATTATTTAAAGACAAAAAAAGTAAAGCAGTCCCACTACGCGCCGTGTAGTCACTTTGGAGGAGAAGCTGTATAGCTCCTACTCATTCTCAACCTCAACACTAAAGATAAAATCTGAACTACTTTTAAGTAGGGGATAGAAAACTCTTGACATTAACTTTCGGCTGTGTTGATGTCTCCGTTTGTAGTTGGAAAACACCGCCTAATCTTCGTTTTTCAAGTTCCTTGTGGTAGAAGAAGGATAAAGCTACGACTCATTCGCACTTCCTTTCTTGTACAGCGATTATCAGTTATGCCAATCCACTATCGCTTCCTGACGTCTACCACAAGACTTAGATAAAACCAAACAAAACATGAACACACACGTAGCTAATTTTTCTCTCGGGCTGTACAACATACTCCCCCCCCTCCACACAAACCCCTCCCCCCCAACAAAGTATAACCTGCACTGGGTCTAGGTACCAGGGGCGCAGTTTGCTAACATTCTCCTTCGCGGTGTCATCTGCTTCCACGCACCTGGAGAGCGTCAACCCAGCACAAACTCACAGGTAAGCGAACACTTAACTCTTACACGGGGAACAGCGAACAAGTGAGAATTTCAGCCGGGTGAGATGTTCTTCCGCTGGGCGACACTAACATTCACCAGTCCTTACTTCGAACCTCGGAACAGAAAGCAGGCAGTTTGGGATGACAATCAGGAGGCGACTGCCGAGTCGCATTCCTAGACGCAGTGTTCTGAACGCCACCAGGAAGAGTGGTCCATGTTCCTGCGGGCCCACACGTGGTCACATTATGATCCGTTCACATTTCACTTCAGACGCACTTCAATCCTTTCTCTGGCCAGACTTACGCGTGTGTAGATACTCTAGGAAAACTTGCACTTAAAGGCGATAGATTATGTACCAGAAACGAAAAATGACACACCAAAACCAAGCCAAGAAGAGTACAAATTTGTATCAGAAGTTGAGGTGGGCCTACGCGTGTTTCCCTAAAGCGAATCTTTGCGATTCCCCTACTTCACTGGCACTGGTGTTCGTTTACTGCAGGCAGAAACCAACTTTTACAAACCTAATTACCGGCCAGTCTAACGGCGCCAGAACCCAGATCATTATCGTCACCGTCACGAAAACCTCAGACTTCATCTAATCACAATAATCTGTACAAAATTTCTGGTTAGAGTCTCAAGCAAAAAGACCACACTGGAAACCTAGGAGGAGAATATTAAGATCTGGCCCAAGGATACAGAGTAGGAGAGTCTGGACTGGACTCATCTGACTAAGGATAAGGACCAATGACAGGCTGTTGTGAACGAGATAATATTCCTTCGGGTTCCATACAAAACGGGGGAATTTCTTTACCAACTGAGCGATTCTTTCCTTCACATGAAGGACTCTACCCCATGGAGTTACGAGTAGTTGTTGTTAACAGGCTACACGTGCAACATAAAACCCTTTTCCACCGTTTCTTCCGTCCTGTTTGTCTGGTAGCTGCTAGGTATTTATACACGGTCTAATGCATAGAGGTTTAGTTGGTTTTTATAATACTTATTATTACGTGATGACACATCGATGAATGATATAAAAGGAACGAGATGTCACATCTTTTAATTTTTAGAACCTGAATTTAATTACAGGAATATATTTTTAATTCCTAGTTCTTTAATTTTCGTATGTCAGGTAAGGGGTTAATTGTCAGGTTATTATGTGCGTAGTTTATGGAGTTTACTAAGCATGTAGAAGATTCATCTACCACATAAACATAAAATTAGTTTCTATTTAAAAAGCACGTGATATTCTTATAAAAATGTAATAACTTTAATACAGTCCGCTTTAAGAAAAATGCGGACGAAGAGCGGGTATTTCATTTAGGTGTCGTATTAGTTAATAACCTCCAAGAGTTATTTATTCCCTGCAATTAATCATGATGACTATCGTTTAGTCGGTAACTGACGTCATATCCAAAATTCTTCTTCATAATTTTCTGACGGTGATATAAATATTAGTTTGTAGGAGAATTCTACACTAAGCTGGTTTATAAAAATATAAACGTTAGAATGTGACGTCTCTGTAGAAATACATGAATATGTTGTGTTCTAGGACCAGTAGAGAAAATACCTACCTATATTTAACTTTTAGTTTGTCAATAACTCATACATAACTGAAGAAAGGCACGTGAAATCCAGTCTGAAAATCGATCATAAAAGTTTCACAAATGGTATATAAACATGTTTTATGTGGAAAATAACAAACATGGATAAGTTATGAAAAATTCCTTTTTACATGTGATAAAGTTAATGAAATGCAAGCTAATCAACGTAAAAACGTCGTCACTCGGGAACGGTGTGAAATCTAAAAAAACAAAACAAGTTTTGCTCCAAATTATCTCCCAAATACCTCCTTAACTAGACCTCTGAATCACTCTGCATATCGTGGAATGAGATCTACATTTAATTTTATTTTTTTATGGTTTAATGTTGTTGAGTCCTAATATTATCATGAACGCTAAGTTTGTAAGGACTTGGAAAGGGGCAGGTGTGGGCCTACATCTCTAACATCCAACGTTATGTAGTCTCAGTTACTGACTGTGTCGTTAAGTAAACCACAGATAAAATTAGAGAACTCGTCTGAATTCTAAACCTGTGAAGTCGAAATGTGAGAGCGTCTTTGACTGGCATATTTCCAGCCAAACAACTTCGAAACGTCACAGTAAATATGCCATACTAAGTGCTCCTCTGCCTCAGAATTGAATATGAGATGAAACATTATACTATCTGATAATACACTTTATAGAGTAAGCATTAAAAAGAAATGTTGGCTTAAAACGGGGCTTTTAACAACCGTGAAATCGTTCAACGGCATCATGTTGCGCACGGAACAAGAATTTAGTTGTAAATGGAGAATGATGACGGAGAAAAATGGACAATGGCACACGACCGCTGTAAAGGAAATGCAAAAAAACGCAAATTCTCGAACATCTTCTAGTGGGCAGAATGATCGACTGAATCCGCGGTGCGATGCAAAAGCTGAACATTTGCGAGCTAAGTCGATCTAAAAAGCAGAGCAAAGTTTATTTTAAAAAAAGTACAGTCTAAGACAGACGAGGCTTGTTCAAAGAAGAAAAGTTAACTAACAAAGTGAACTGATTTTGAAATTACAGTCTTCGTTGTAATGTAGTTTTAAGTTCTTACAGCGCCCAGAACGGAAATGACTCGTCCCATACCGCGAGGTCATGGATGTTTTCGACGCATTTCTATGAGACTGAAGAAAACAACGAAATCCTCTATAACAAAAGTGGGATTTTAAGCGTGTTCCCCTGTAACACAAGTCCAGAGAGTTACCGCTGAACAAAATAACAATACAGCCAATTCGAGAAAATTTGTTTATCATTTCTCTGGTTATTTCACAACTCTCTTTCAACTGCAATGGCTATATGGCTTTGAATATCAGGATGACTGAGAATAATGAATTGTAAAGAGTCTTTGTAACAGAAACGAGATATGTTTTCTTTGTCGTAAGAACTGACTTTTTAAGTATTATTTAGACGAGTTTCAAAGGCATAAGACGGCGCAGTAAATTATTCTTTAAGAACATTTGTATTAAATCCAGGTGGGCCAAACATTATTTACTCCGTAACAGGATCTGGTGACCAATATTAACAACACTAATGAATGAAAGGTGACTTTGCAGCTCTGTACCTATCAGGTCTTGGCAAATGAATATATTGTATATCCTGTTGTGCACACTGACGAAATCAAACATGGCCACCTTGAGATGAAAATATGCTTGAGCTGAAACAGCACGTTTAACGTTTCACGACTAATCCCTACTCATTTTTGTTCGTTTTCTTGTATTCACACGTTCGAATATTGTGTTGGACCTCAGTCTGAGTCATATCTGGCACACTCAATGTTTCGGTGCTTGACTCTACTATCATTTTCAGGTGACTGGATGTCATTCTACTGACGTATTTGTTTTCCTTCTCTTATTTTTTACAAAAAAAATAGTAATAAATTTTCCAGATTATTTTTGACAAAGCTAAATTATTATTCAGAAAACCGATTACCCACTTGAAAACCGGAACAGACGAAGATACACCCGGAAATGGCATTTCCTTACAAACCCAGAGTTACATGGCGACCATTCTAAAGCTTTGTATGGAGTAGGAACAGGTTTGAAGTTATACATGGACAGAAAAAGAACAATAAGTAGAGAAAATTGCAGACAGTCACATATGGGCGGGATTCCAACCCACGACGAAATTACTTACAAGAAAACTCACTATGCTTTAACAAGCAAGCACATTCAGCTTTTATACACATGCACAGACCTCGCTTGGTATGAACAGTGACGAGTTATAGCTGAACTGGATTCAAGAAGCAGGGGGTCCAATTACCGCTTAAATAACATCCATTTGGACTTTCTTTATATCGAAGCTTAATAGAATCGATTAAAAACCATTAGCCGAGCTTCAGGACTACAATAGATACTCTTATCCATAGTCAGGTAGTGTGATTCATGCAAGTATTTTAGAAGAAATCTAACAGCTGAATGCTAGATGATGGGAAGTCTTCTAACTGGTTGACCAGGTGTTCGGATGTCTCATGTTCGCATAACTCTTAATAAGATTCCGAACTTCACAGCAAATGCGTATCCGCGATTATCATCCTGTGTCATTGGGTTTCCTGTGAACTGAAGGCCGAGACCATGACCATCATTCGAATATCGCAGCCTGTTTATAAGTGAGACGGCTTTCCATGATTTGTTCGTTCTTTGTGGGATCTTGATCGCTTAATTCTGCATTTAAAAGTGTAAATCCACCATAAAATAACAATGAGAACAGCCTCATGCTCTTTTCTTTCAACCTGGAACTACGTGCCACCTTTGCTTTTAAGACAACGCCGTGGCGCCAGCTTGCAAAACAAATCTAAATTAAATGTCATCCTTTACTACTACTTAAATATGGCTCCTTAAGATACATACAAAAACATTTTTATATTAAATATGTTATCAAATACGCAAACTATTTCGACTTCTCATTCGTCAGAGACTTCAACGCACGACACCCTAATGATAGGACGACCGCCAGTTGTCAAAGGACGCTAATATCTGTGCGCTAACGAACTGTAATTAAGAAATATAAGATATTGCATTTTTCTAATTATAACGTGCAAATATGTAATTTTATAAAATTTTGTAGCACATTTGAAACCTTGTGGCGGTGCACCGGTTTCGGAACACTGGTTGACAATGTTCTGCATGATGTAAGACGTTCAAAGAATCCTTACAGAATATAAAGTAGAATATGTCAATGAGCAGCAGAGAATACACTGCACCACAAAGTCAATTAGACAGACGACACTGGTAGCCGATGATTATCGTCAAATATTAAATTGTACGTGTTCATTGTGTGAGTACGAGACATGGCTACTTGTGAGACGCTGTGAAATTTACTTACATACAGTTGGAGGAACTGAAAATCGGTATTTAAATTTTCTGTGAAACATAGAAATGTTACTCTATCTGCTTAAGGCAGTATATGTAAATGTATTTTCGTCAGCATCGCTGACATTTACGTCTTTGTATAAGTTAGAGGTCAGGGTGAACGTGCTTACATCATAATGGTGATCAGTCCATACAGGCAGGTACTCGCTCACTGCCTGTAATTTATTCTTCGCCAAAAGCAGAATCAGACATTCAAAAACGGCTGAAAGTCAACCGATTATAGATATCTACTAGTTAATCTCGACAACGTTCAGAACTCATCACCCTGGTTATTGAAGCAGCAGGTACCTCGGTAAACTTCTACCAGACTACACCGTGCAACATGCCAGCAGACAGGAACTTCCATACTCGCTGCTGTGAGAACATAAAATCTTAAGCACTGTGACAGATGCTACAGCGTAAAGTAAGAGCCGAATATAATTCCGCTGACCTCACGACTACAGCGACTCATTCATGGTCAAGGGCACTTCGAATGTGGCTGATATTGTACAGCAGATGCTATAAGTTTATAGACTGAAGTGAAAGGTACGTACACAGTATGATTTGAGGTTCTCACAGCGGTTAGTATGAAGATTTTTGTCTTCTGGGTTGTTGAGCTGTAGTGTAATGAATCGCCCTGATGACGGAGGCAGTATGACCTC